TTTACATTTTTTGTACATTTCAAGTTTCTGTCCTCAAACTTTAAGTCATCGCCAGAGGATGAGTAGAGGAAAGATTAATCTCAATAGCCATGGCTTCAGTCTGACTATACTTTAAAAAGTCCTGATTAAGACTGTCTGAAATGGAAATGACATTTAGGACTGTCAGTTTAATTTGCATTTTAATTTAGATTATATGTTGGGCTTGTTTAGGTTTTAAGATAAAGAACCTTAAAGGATGGCTTTCTAAAGTTTTTTTTTTTTTTCTTTTTCTTAGAGATATGTGTAAATTTGCTCCCTATTGTCTAAAATAGGAATGCAGCATGTTGTGAAACCTCACGGCTCCAACTAACTGTTTTTGAGCAATGGAAAATAACAATACTGTTGTAATGTAGAGATGTTGTTTCTGCTTGTGTTATATTGCAGTTACAGTCAGAGTCAGTTAAAAGAAATGTTTTCTGTGATGCTGAGCTTGTGACATGTCAGGCATATTTCCATTTTAACACACTGGATTGCTCTTTATACTGCAAAAAAAAAAAAAATTAAAAAGGCTAGAATTGGCTAATTTTTCTTGAATTAAGCAGTTAAGTGAGACACTTTGCCACTGGAATTAGACTATTTACATTTAAAATAAGGAAAAAGCAATTGCAGCCTCTTATTTTAAGTGCATAATATCGAATAATATTATTTTAAGCGTAAAAATACTCATTCCATTGACAAATCATATTAATTACCCACTCAAATTAAGGGTAAATAGACTTAATTTAAGAGATTTTTACTCATTTTGTTTTTTGTGGTGCATCCTAATCCTTCTCTACACCACAAGAAGGTTAAACTTGATTTTACTTACATATTTTGGCAGATTAAGAATTTAGCAGTTGACATGTGTCAATGACATGAGATGTCTGCTTTAAAGACCCTCATTTCCACTTTATGTTGCAAGCTTTAGATGAAGTCTAGGAGCCAACCATAACATATTTTCCAGCACTCTAAATTGCCTCTTACTCCGGAAGGTCATTTCACCCAGCATCAGGCACCAATGCATGTTGTAGCAGGAACTGTTTGGACAATATTCCAATGGCTCTTGTTCTAGCAAAATATTACTCACTTTAACATCCAACCAACTGTTCAGCAAGACCTTTTTTCATTAACATACATCAAAAGTAATTCAAAAAATATGAATTCAAATTGAAGCAGGAGTTAAAATCGTGATTGGAGTAAGTTGTGCTCTTAAAGACCCCCTCCCGCTGTACTCAGACACTGAAGACAGCAGGTGTCCGACCACATTCAAAAGCTTAATGACACAAACATCCGGAGGGGAAGAAGAAACAGAATCTGACGAGCTCAAGTATATTTCATGTATTTAATTGCAATGTCTAAGAGAAAGGATGAATTAACAAGGTTGACTCAACTGTTTGCCTGGTTTCCAACTCGGCCTCATGGTGGTGGTGGGTGTCGAGCCAGAATGCAGCGCAGGTGAGAGGTAATGAGTTTGGTTTTAGATTAATCCGAAGTGAGGGACCACACAACCAGAACCCAGAGCCTTTGGTGAATCATTTCAGCTTTTATGTAGGGATTCCCTATCAGTTGACTTGAGAAATGGAGGTACACCCCTGGATCCATCCTGTTGGTTTCTGGTTGAGCTACCATGTCAATATCAACAATTCAGGTTCTCCTGACCTGTTCTATTGTGGTGATTCCAGTTGGGTCTCTCCTTTGATTTTTTTCTATTTTCTTTCTGCAGTCTCCTAAACATTACACCTCAATTTACCATTGGCTAAAACAGATATAGAAGAGCAATAAAGAAAGCTGTCAATCAGCTTAGATGATATTTTTTAAGTCATATGCTTATTTCTAAAACTGCACTAGGATGCAGTGAGTAAGGGAAGAAGGTCGATCTACAGAATCAATGTGAATCTTTGGGCAATATTCTGCTGGGAAATCTTTGGCTTAGATATTCCTGCTGATATCACTTTTACAAATAAAACTTAAGTATTACTGCAGTAAATTTACAACCTTTCATAGAAATTATATTCCCTGATAGCTGGAACTTCTTTCAGAACAGTAATATACTCTTTATATAACAGAGTATGTTATAGTCTGTGGAGCAGAATAGCAAATTGGACTTGTTAACTTGGCCAGATCCTAATCCAGTAGCACATCTATAGCAGGGGCAGGACACTTTTAGTGCCAAAAAGCCATTTTGCCTCATCTTCCACCAAAGAAAATAGTCTGGAGTCTCACTCTAACCATGAAAAAAATGACACAGCTTATCCACATTTTGAACAATTTTTAAAAGCCTACTTGGTGCCTCCCATAAATCCAGAGGAACTGTGCTACGTAGGCCTTTGTCCAAGAAACCAAACGAGTCTGCTGGCAACACTGAGATGCCAGAAACAGCTTCAGTGACCGCTGTGCTCCAGGCATCCATGAGTTAGAGATGTGTCTGGCAGCAGAACGGGAACCAGCACACTATCAGACAGAAAGTATTTTTTATTGCAATGAAGCCCTCTTTACAAAGTCTGATGGAAGTTTTAATACACTTAAAGATCTTTAGTAAAAGAGGCTGGTGAACTCCACCAGTCTTCTTCAGTGCTGCAGTGTCAAAATTTCAAAGAATGGAAATAGTTTTGATGACTCATTCAAAGAGATAACAGCATGAGCTACAAGGTGCTACTATAAAAATATGTTACAGAAGCAGGAACAAAAAAAAGTCTTCAAAAGCCACTAAAATATTTAGCTTAGAAAAATAAAAACACCTAAAGCATCGATTTTATTAAAATGGTCATAGCAGAACCTCCTCTGAGTTATTATATGTCATAACCTGCTTTTGATATTCTCGTTACTATTAATCAAGCAGCTTTATAAAGTCAGGCTGGACTTTATAACATATGGTGTACACTGATGTTTTATATTGTGCAGCCATGTTTTTGTACTTTGGGAGATAGCCGGGGTACTTTGAGAGAGAAGTAAGAACAATGACAATGTTCATGACTTCCTCTAACATTAAAAAACTCAGAAGCAATCAAATATTTAAATACCATTCAAATTAAAATTACCATTAAAATTAGTTTGCTAGTGGACAAATAGGGAAGAAGTATCATTCAAAATGGTAAAACTTTGACAAAGGCAAACATTTGGCAGAATTGAAAGAATGCTTACTTAAAGATCAAGTTTTTTTTTCCAAGAAAAATGCTCATTACAATAATTTTTAATGATTTTTTTGCAAGTTCTGTCAATAAATACTTAGGTGAAATAGCTAAACTGGAACTAAACATTTTAAAAAATCTTAAAGTTTTATTGATGTTTTCCCATCTTGTGCAGTTTATAGATTTGCTAATAATTGGCTGCAGCATTCGAAATTTTACAGTTTCAGGCCATTTCTCTTCGCATAACTTATTTGAAGTTGATTTAGCTTTATGTGTTTGTATCATATTATCCCTTTCAGTTATTTTTTTATTGATAGCATGATTGTAGGAGCGAGTGAGAAATTTACCATGTGTATTCCTAAGAGGACCAATTAGCTTTTTCTAATCAGGAATCACCAACTGTTCAGAACAGAAAGAGGTCAGAATCGAGCAGCTGCCACAAAATATGGAGCATTATGGTGCACAACCCATTAACAAATTATAGTAGAAAACATATTTTAGCTTTGTGAATGATATCGGTTGATTGTGTAAGCACACTGGGGATTATATTCTAGTTAATGGAACTATATGTTTTCTTTTCCTGGCTGTTAACTCAAGTTTTTAGAGCATTTTCCAGAAGATTTCAAGCTTAAAGTGTGAAGCAGATAGAAATGAAGCACTGCCACATAGCTGAGTCAATGTTTATGCTTGCACATCACTGCCTGCTGATCAGCAGAGTGTTTTAATGGCAGAAATGATGCAGAAAAAGTAAATGAATGCGTTTCCACTCAGGTTAAAACAGATGGTGGATCCGCAGCCAAGAGGCAGTTAGGAAACTCTCTTAGCTTTTTTGTTTTGTTTTTTTAGAAAAAATAAAACTTGCATTTTTTTAACATTAGCAACAAGCAAAACAAAGATTACTGTCCATATTTCTTCCCAAGTTTCGGAGGACAGATGGGGCATGGTTATCAGATTGGTGAAGCTGAAGAAGGATAATTCTTTCTCTGTCCTCTTTTGTCTTTACCTTCATCTTCCATATCTTATATAAGCCATGATTCCTGTAATTTGTAGCAATGTGAAAAAACATAATTTGTTTTAAAGTTGCAACCTGTGTCCCATCGCCCTCTACTGTCATTTTCTGGGAATGCATGGAAGATATAGTCATGAAGAGTTGAAAGTGACAGAGAGGCCACCATTATCTGAAATGTAAGTACCACAGGCCACATCAGTGGCTACTTTCCATAGCTGAAAAATTGACATTGTACACCGCAAGCGTTTAGTTAAGATAATAAATAGTTTGCCCTCTATGGTTTTGTCTTTGCCCTAGATGGGCTAATGACCTGTCCACCTTTTTCCCAATAAATGCTGGAGATTGGTCAGGATGAATGGAGGGATGGAATTATTAACTCCCTGAACATTACTGAAGGATCACTGGACAGGAATGAAGGTGGTGAAATAATGATTAGGGGGTATTTTTTAATCTAATCAGGCAACATAATCAAAAATAATCATAATGCTAAAAATACTAAAAGTTCTCAAAAACAACAGCATCACATTTTCATTAGAATAGCTTGTTCTTGGGGAAAATTCGATTGTTCAGCAATTCAGTGATCCAAAGCACATAAATTAGAGAAGAAATTGGTTGCTGTCAAAATTAACATTTTGGAGTTTCCCAAATAAACTCTGCCTTGAATCAATGCATAAATCAGATAATCAGTGGAGGGGGGAGAACAGTACTGTTATGACATACAGGACTTTCAGCTTCAATGTCATGGTTTGCGGTAGAAAAATCCCCAAGTGAAGAACAGGACTGTGGCATGGAAAAAAATGATTTCTTTAATAATACCGTAATAAAAAAGCAAATTTATAGTGGAATCGCAGTAGTAATAAGTCACGAAACATGGGTGGGCAAGAGGCAAAATTGTCATGGAAATGGAGAGAGTATGGAAGAGAGTCCAACAGAAAAATTCAACTGTGACACGGAGAGAGCTTGTAAGGGTTGTAGAATGACAAATAAACCAAAATATCAGTTCAGTAGAAGTCTGGAGCAGCTGGGGCAGAAAGAAGGCAGGGAAGCTGTTGAATTAATCTTAAAAAAAGAAGCTGATCTAAGACACTGTGGTTAAAGAAACAGAATGCAAATGTACAAAGAACAGAACACAAAAATAAAAGTCTAAGCATAAAGGAATAACAAGGCCAACTTAGCTAATACCAACATTAACATGGGAAAATGGCAGAACATGTTAGAATATGATAAACAAAAAGGAGTTCTGAAAACAACCCTCAAAAGAAACTCACAAAATGGGAAAACATGTCATTCAAAGACTTGGAAATGGTCATGGATAGAAGCAGAAACATGCAAACAGCTGATCAGTAATAAAGAGAAGCACTTAGTCTCAGTAATATCTAATCAAGCATTACTCATACGTTTATTAGAAGGGTAGAAATAACATTGGACATATCTTTTCTTTATTTAAATGTAAAGTAAATTATTTTCATTTGTAACAGTTATACACGTATTGACCAGTGCCGTGATAGCTGACCTAATTACTCACCTCTCTCACCTCTCTAACCCTACCCGGTTACCAATAACTATTCAATTTATCCACCTACTCCTGCTGCTTTATATTCGGCTCAGGCCAGCTATCCTGTTTTGACTCGGTGGAGGGATTTAATCTAAAGTTCTGATGTTTTCTTGGTGTCACGTCTTGTCCTGCCTCTCAACTACTGGGCTCACCTGTTTTCTATTTGAACGTTTTCTGCTTGAAGTCTTTGTGGACTCATGAAATGCTGAACCTACCTTAACGCTCTGTGGATTTCTGGAACCCTGGCTCTGTCTGTTCCTGGTTCTGATTGGAATCCCTGATCAGGTTTTGGACTCCTGGATCTCAGAACCGTCCTGTTCTGAACTGTTTGCCTGAACTGGCTCAGACTTCTGCATGTTTACTGAGTTTATTGCATCGGGGACATTCTGGCCGGCTCCGCATCTCGTTGGCAGTCGATCGCTTGGATCCTGCCTCACCCAAGAGGATAGACTGAACTGTTAAACTGGAGTGCCAGTGATGGGTGGTGCCCCGCCTCCCCCAGCAGTCGCTGCAGATCCGTAGATCCACAGCTCTGCTTTTTCTCTGTTTTGTTGATAACCTTTTTGAAACTTCCCACTGCCTGTCTAGCCTGAATACTGGGTCCTACATTCTGAATTCCTGACAGAATGATCTGGCCCCGGATAGCTGGGTTGAGCCGAATATTAAGCAGCAGGAGCCGGTGGATAAGATGAATGATAATTAGTGGCAGGGGAGGATTAGGCAAGTGAGTGAAGTGAGCAATTAGGTCAGCTATCAGGGCACCAATCATGACACACATATAACCTTATTTTATCTTTTGAGAAAACAACTCACTTCTGCTCACAACTTCTTGGATAATTGCAGATAATCTTGACTGTATTCACACCTAACTTAAACTATGTTTGTTTTGAAAAGCAATGAGTTTGTATCAACATTTGGAAAGCTTGTTCACATGGTTCACAGATGGATGAAGCTGATGTAAAAGTAAATGGATTAGATTTTTTCACACTTAAATAATACTTCTGAGATCAACGGATTTAGGCAGTTTTATTGTTAGATATATATACAAAATAAACGGCCGTATTATGACAGAGCATAGTAAAATTATTGAGATAGGTCCAGAATCCTAATTATTAAATTACAAACCTATTGATTTTATAATTAATCCGTCGCCTAATCAGTAACATTTCAACCCTGACTATTAATCTATGCTCATAAATCTCAAGTAAAAACCTTTAGAAGACCTTTTTTTGTTGAAACCATGATTTGCAGCTGTATATCAACTCAATCTGCGACACATTTGGGAAGCAAACGATACAATATCCTTTGAGGAACAACGTTTCACCTTGAAGGCATCAGCAGAACTGAAAAGTTTAAAGGAATCAGAGAGAGAAACAGTTAATATTAATTAACATGTTTTTTTTTTCCAATGCAACCATTTGTAAATCAGATCAAAGGCCTACCTTCCAGCGGTTACCACACTCATTGCATAGGACGAATGTTGTCATGGGCTCATCAGCGCTGCGAGTCTGAACCTGAAACATACACAGAGGAAGATCTGGTAAGAGGAGAGCAATGCTAAAAGAAGCAGCTTAGACTTAGAGCAACACTGCATAACTTTTGGCCAAAGTATTAGTTTAATTTGAGATACATTTAGTGACTCTTTAGGTCCATACGTTGATTTATATTAATGCTCCCTTTTCCATATGTAATTTAAAAGGGTTGGTCTACTCACTTAAGTCTCAGCTCCCTCTAAACACCTAAAAATCAAAGCTAATACAGATATAAACTTACCCGATCAGACATATTTTGGTTTTCTGATGCAGCAGTTAATCTAGAGGAGTGAATATGGCCTTGTCTTTACCAGTGACTTTACTTCTCAGTCATTTGGTCCAAAATGGTCTGCATTTTGATTCCGAAACATTGAATATGATGGTTTCACCTGCTGTGATTTAAGAATATTGCGCCATCGAGTTATGGCATTAAGCTCAAGAGACTCCATCTTTGAATGATTTGTAAAGATTTTAAAACACAGTTTAGTAAAACACTACTCATCAGTTACTGGAAACAGTTAAGAGCAGCACATGTTGGTACTTCCAGTTTTTAGGTTTAACCTCTTAATATCCACCTCATTTTGGAAAATTCTCACCTATTTTGCATTCCCAAATGGAAAAGACAATGACAGGAACTGTAAGCCCAAATTACATGTGTGATACATTATTTGAAAGCTAACACCTTCTAATTTCAGAATATATACATGAAAATTGGGTGAGTAAAACAAGACATGCTTGCTTGTTGTGGCTGGTTTGTCCTGGTACATTTTGACATGCTGCTATATCTATGTTAATTGTGCTTTGGTGCTCACTGTGTCCATGAAATGAACTAGGTGGATTAATTATGGAAAATCTAAGCTTTCCAACAATGTCTAACATGTTTATATTGGTGAACAATTTATCAGTGTAATGTTCATGCATTCTGAGTTATTATTTGGGTTTTGAGAGGTTAAGAGGAAATTGTCTTTTTTTCCTTCAGCAGAAGAAATAATGATTAAAAAACTTGAATTTTAACAATCCTGGGGGTATTTTTTGTCTGACATTAACATTCAAGTGCGACAAAGCAGAAAAATCTGTGGGGTGCTGTTCAGACCACTATTCCTCCTTCAGTAGAAGGACAGAAGACGAAACAACACCCACTCATCTTTAAGCTTGAAACTTTTAAATTCAGTTATCTTGCTTCAGTTTCCTTTGTGACGGCTGTTAGAGCAACTCCGTTTACCTGGTTGTAAGTGCAATTCTTCTTCTTGCACTTGCCGCACTGCAGCAGGTCTGTGGTGGTCCCACCCGTTTTGGCCATCTGGTGTTCCCTGATGGCCTCCTGGGTGAGGACGTTCCTCAGCTGTTTCAGCTCGTCACTGGCCATTTCCTTAACGCAATACGGATGACAGGAGAACGTTACAGAAGGAGGAACGGGAGGAAAATCAAAGCTGATGTAATGAAAGCTGATCACTTTGAAAAAGGTGAGTTACCTCCGCTGACATGCTGGCCATCCGGCTCAACTCAATGCTTCCTGCGAGGACGTTTCTACGAAGCCCTGGGTTCTTGGGGTCCTTCAGGTTGCTGATGCGGCTACGGACTCTGTTCTTGTATTTCATATCCGTGGCCCTGATCTCCTGGTAGATATGTGCATCTACACAGTCAAGGTCAAAAACTAATTTCTCCTTATTCATCTACCAAAGATTAGTCAAATAGTGAACTGCTGTCCTTAGTAAAGGATATGATCTTCAATCTCTGCTGCCATGCTGTCACAGTTTGCTCCAAAATCTTTGTAATCATCTGTGAAAAGCAGGATATATTAAACAGAGCAGTAAACGCCGCCCCCTCTAGTATTTGTCATCTATAATCAGTAAGCTTTCAGCCTCACTGTCTGTGCGCAGGGCAGCTGCCAGCATCTCAATGCACTTGTCTCTGACTGAGTCTCCAGTAGCAAGGTGAGGGGGAAGAGGACCTCCAGGAGAGTTAAAACTTGGAGACATCGGGCTGGTTGGGGTGGTGGGAGTCCTCGGTGCTTCAATTTTACCCTTCCTACATACAAAAAAAAATATGCTTCTGAACCAAAAAGCTACAGGAACAGCTTAAATATAATTTTTTGTCATTCAGAGCTTAAAAAGGACTTAAATATCATTATGTGTTTTGTAATTTTATATAATTTCGGTAAAGATACCTTTCAATGCTGTCAGTAGAGGATTTTCTCAGTGGTTGTCCAGGAGGCTTTGAACCCAAAGACTCTCTCCTAAACAACATAGTAAAAAAAAAGTTATGCTGATTTGCATCAAAAAAAGCATATAGAATGATTATTTATATCCTCTATTAACTAAACTGCATCATATTCTAATAAAGTTGTCTCAGTTTAAGGCCTCATTAGGCTGTTAAATTTTTTTTTTTTTTACTAATCTCCTCCCCAATCTTTAAATATATCTGATAATTATAGGATTCAGTTAAATTTAAAAATCCTTTAAGGATATCACGTAGACTGTATTACTACTGTTTAGAAACATCCTGGACATGTGACCGGCAAATAAATAGTAATCCTACGGCGTCAGGATTATGACAAAAGTGAACCATGAAAGTATATTATGTTCCACAGGCGCATTGTGGTCCCCTATTTTTATTCACCATGAGTGCATATAATGCTAAATGAGCATATTTTACACTACAAGCATGCATTGAACATCCCTACATGCACAATTCAGTGACTACAGGCGTAGCTGAGCTGTGTGAAGATGCCGCTCATTGCCGGTTACCGGCTTTACAATTACAAAAAGATTACATCTTAAAAACATAAGCAGCACAACTGCAGAAATATGCACTAAAGTAACACTTAAAAAGTAGGACGCTTTGGTTTAATGCAGCACTTAATGGGGGATGGTGACCTCTGGATAACTTAAAATATAATATTTAATACCTCTGATTTAACAGTAGCAGAAATTATAGTTCTAGCTACACAAAACTACACCAACAAAGCATAAATCATTCAGTCCATTTTCAGAGTTTTTTAGGGTGTCAGCTTCACACAACTAAACTGTGCTTGTGGTCAATGAAATGTGCACGTGGGACATTCAATGCACACGTGGAGGATAATCTACGGCCGTGATTCACTTTTGTCGTAACCCTGACGCCATACTATCAAACTCACATTATTGTGGGGAACATCATGTCTCTTTCATCAGGCAACTTTTATTCAACACATGCTTGTTCTTACTGGCTCAGATTACTACAACATCCCCACAATATTAATCCTGATGGCATAGATTACACATGGACCACAGTCCATGACAGTCTGAGAGTCAGTGAAGAAATATTCTAAGTTGATTGGTTAGAATTTCCTAAACCATTTTCTTTTTCTGTGAATAATTTTGAATTTCCTGATTTATGAATGGTTACAAATAAAATACAAATAAACCCCATTTGTCTCTCTTATATGTCAAACAGGGTTATATTTATAATCTCATTCTTTTAGAATAGGAAATTGGAAAGAAACTGCATTAGTATAGTATCATGTTCTTGGTTTAACAGTCTGCTATTTGCAGCAAAGCACTGATTTAACATTGAGTTAAGGATCCTTATGATGCCATCGATCACAGTAAATTATAAAAATATACTCTTAAAAAAATGGCCAATGAAAATATGTCAAAAATAATGTTAATTACCATTACAAATCATTCCAAGAGGATTTCATTCAATACTTTTTCACAGCACCACACAGTGTCAAAAAAATGTAAGAAAGATTTTACCTTTCAGCAGTTATCTTCTTAGCTGGTGGTGAGCTACTTCTCTTTGAATCAGTGGATTCACGCCTGTGGAACCACAAAATTAGAGCAAACCTGGGTTTCTCTTAATCGATTGTTTTAATGTAGTTTCTTTATTAAAGACAAATACGTCCAAATATGTTCCAGACCTGATATGTTTGAGCTCAGTGGAATGGCCTTTTGCAGGATGGCATGGTTTCAGGTCACTGGGATCCTTCCTGCCAGAAAACAAGAAATAAACCTGAGAAATTTGCACACTATTCTGTGAAAAGGAAAGCATTTTCATTGGTTCTGCAGAAATTTCTGCACACCTGTGTTTTTCTTTTTTGACTTCACTGGTAACCTTTTTGGAAGGAGGTGCTTTAGAATCAGAAGAATCTTTCCTGACAAGAAAATTCAAGATTTGGAACAATTCCAGTGGGGAAAAAAAAAGATAATATGGCTAGCTTTTGTTAAGCATATGTAGAAGTAGCAAACATTTTCATTTGCTTTGTCATGCATAGTTCATGATTGACCAACCTTTCTCTCTTGGCGTCATCTGAGAGTTTCTTAGATGTTTTGCCATCATCTGAATCTCTCCTGTTAAATTAGAATAGCTTTTAAGATTTCCATTAGCTAAAAATCACTACAGCCAAATTAATCCTGCACCTGAGTTTTAATCTATATTAAAACTTGAGAAAAAATAGCAGAGCAATTGGAATGACAAATGTTAACTCCAGAAAATGTGAACACATTTAACCACATATAGATTATTGGTAGTGTACTGTGACAGAATGCAGACCTGTCTTTCTTCAGACAATCAGCAGACTTTTTCTTTGGTTCTGTGGACGACTTTCTGCTGCTGCAAACAAGCGGAATCAATGCACTAACAGAAAAAAACACATTTTCCTCAGGGATTCTAGGGGGTGACAATATAAGCTGATATAGTTCAGACCTATCTCTTTCCTTGCTCCCATCCACAGAGGGGTGCTTTTGAGGAGGAGCGGGGGGGTGTAGATGGAGTGGGAGGGGAGGAAGGGGAGCATTGGGATCTGGAGGCTCTTTTCTAAATGAGACAAACATCTTTCAGCCAGCATGAATCACTTTAGAGGAAGGATGAGCGATACAGTGGCTTTCAAAATTACTCATCCCCTTGAAGGTTTTTCACAATTTCTCCACAGTACAACCATAATATTAAGGTTTTTATGCGTGGGTCAGTGAAAGGGACAAACATATCTGAGATTTGACCTTTCACCGACAAAAACTGCTTTTATTATTTAGCACCCATTCAAAATGAACTTCCTGGGTCAGATTTCTAGTATAACTGTATAATTTCCCACATGTAACCTCATCTGTTGTGCTAAAATAATTTTGGGGGGAATTAGGGGGACCTCGATTTTCTTAATTCTGGGAGATCGGTGATCGGTTGGTACTTATACTGTATGTGAAACCGCTTTCATGCACCGATCATATACATCTCCACAATCCATAAACTGTCAATGCTCTACTTGACTGATTTATTTTGAAAGCAGTTATTTCAGACATGTTTATTGTTTCACAGGTCATTATTGACGTCGTTCAGAAAGATCATTTTATAGAAGTAAAAGTGGTGAGGTTTGGGATGCTGGATTAGGAGACCTCTGATTGGTTTAGCAGTCCTTCATAACTGCTTCATCCCAGTAAGATATAAGAAGTTTGGATATCTTCGTAAATGTTATTTTAACCAAACCTTATATTTGTCTATTTTTAATAGGTGATCCTGTGTGCTCAGAATAGCTTTAAAAGCTTCCATTAAGATAATTTCCCATCCTTTCCAAACTGATCGTAATCCAAAGTGGGGGCCCAACTAGAAATCCGAAAGACTTGGAACAGAGCTGAAACCTTTTCAGTCTTAAAGGGACTTTAGTTCAAAACAGCTGCTGCTTTCATCAAGATTGTCCTGGAAGGAACTGAACAGTAGTCCCTATGGGTCCTTTAGATATTTCACAAGTAAGCTGTTCTCATCGGTGTTATGATGTTTCTAGTGCTGATGGGTGCAAATGGAGCCAAGATTTGGTAATCATCTCCCATTTTTTACTTCAGCTCCATCAGATAGAAGTTTCTAACCCAATTTTGATCAAAATTAAAGTATAAAATTTTTTTCTTTGGGCTTGATATCTGTGAAAATCAGCAATAAATAAATTGGAGTCTGTAATTGTAATGAGAAAATGTGAAAAAGTTCAAGGCACTGAAATGGAAAGTATCAGACACAGACAGGCATGCATAGCCCGACCTTGGAGGAGGAGGATGGAGGTGGAAGGGTAGAGGAGGTATTGGAGCATTTGGGTCTGGTGGAACCTTCCTGATGTGAGAATGAGCTTGTGTTTATTTATTTTTGTTTTTGGACAACCACATAAATTGTTCAAAACATGCATCAAAGCATGCCTGACCTCTCTTTCTTGACTTCCACTGCAGGTCGTTTTGGCGGCAGAGAGGCAGGTTGAGGGCCATGAGAGTGAGGTTGTCGAGAGGAAGAATCTTTACCCTCCTTCCTGACCGTAAATAACAATATCACAGATGTGAGCGGGTTCACAGCAGGTGTCGAAGCACTGTGGTGAAGCATGTCAACCCATCTCAGCATGCACCATGCACTGCATGAATCCTTATTTTCAAAGGGGCAGATATGACTACATGTGAGGAGCTAGTAGCCTGTTGGGCCATGCTGTTAGCAGGAGCAACATTACAGACAGGGGTCCTGACCTTTCTTTTCCCGAATCCAGAGACGGACGTTTGATGGGTAAAAGAGGTCGAGCAGGTCGAGGAGGAGAGGGGAAGCGAGTGGGATACAGTAGTGAGCTGTCCAGCACTCCTCTCCTGAAATAAATAGCTCAATCTAAGGTTTGTGGAACCTTAGAAATGTAAAATACTAGCATTTTGGCAACAAGCTCCTCACCGTTCAAAGATGAGTTTATTAGCTTCAGGTGGCTCGTCTCTATGAGGGGCACCAACAGGCCACTCTTGTCTGCCATCTTCCCTGTTTTTATCCTTCTTCCCTTCATCTGCACATTTTTTAAGCTCCTCGGGAGGTTTCTCTGTTTTTATTTGCTCAACATGCCACTTTTTTTTCAGCTCTTCCAATGATTTGTTTTTGCTGGGGTCAGACTTGTGTTTGTGACTCTGCAGGTCTTGTGAGTGCCTCTGTTTCTTATTATCCATTTCCACTTTGGGATTCTCTGCAGGCATTTGTTTCTCTGTTCTGATTTCTTGGAGGTGTTTCTCACTTTGGCGCTCCTTGGGGTGTTTTCCGTCCATCCTGGGATCATCTACGCATCTCTTTTTGTTTATGTGGTTTTCATTCTGGCTTTCTTTCTTGTTTTTGTCAGGGTCGGATTCATGTTTCAGTTTGGCCTCCAACCTCCTGTGGCTAAAGAAACAAATGTTTTACCTCTACTCTGAACCCAAAGGTGGAAATGTTCTTTAATCAAACAATACGTGGAATGGATGAAGACACACCAACTTAAGAGTGTCTAAAACGAAAAATATTTTACAGGAGAGGCTTCTGTGCTGTTATACATTGTATTGAAAAGGTATTCATTGCCTAAATAAATAAATCAGCATGCTGTGATGCTGACTTTTTGGGACATACCAACACAAACCAGCTCTGTAGAGGTAAAGGAAAACATTCATAATTCACTTGATATAATAAAATAAATAGAACCAATTGCATTGAAATACACCCTAAACTTGCACGTTTGTGATTTATTAAAAAAAAAGTATTAACATATTGACTCATGGAGGGAAAAAGCTAATTTATGCGCTGGGCAACCAAGTATTTATTCTTTTCCCTTCACAATTATGTGTTGCTGTTGGTCTATTATATAAATACATGTACAAAATTGTTGCTGCCATTCATTTTATGAAAAAAACACAATAAATAAAAGTAATGAATAAAAATTCTATGAAAATGAACACAGGAAGGTCATACATTGGTTTTAAGCCATACTTTAAAAGAATTATTAAAAACAAAAATATAATGGATAAAAATAATTGAAGTACCCCTAGTAAAGACTGAAAAATAATGTGACCAATGGGACGTGGTAAATCAAGGTCTGTCCACTAATTGGCATCACAGGGGTCTACAATCTTGTAATCAGTCAGTGTGGCTATGTACAGGGCTTGGTGACATAGTTTGTACCACATTTAATATGGACCAGAAGAAGCAAAGGAAAGCTTTGTCTCAGGAGATTAGAAAGAAAATAATAGACAAACATGTTAAAGGTAAAGGCTAGTGATGGTGAGATGAAGCCTCATGAAGCCAAATTGCTTCAACGATCCCCACAGTTCACAAGGCGTCATGTGAACATGTCACCACCTACTGGTGGAAAGCAGAACTACAGTTTGTGATTAAATCTGTGATTTTTTTGCAACTGTTTTTACTTTTTTCCCCCCCATTTTAAGTTCCTTTGAAATTGTTAATGGTTGGTGTGTATAATAAAATCTTTTGTAATTTTTAGGTGTAAAATTTCTTAAAACAATCATTTAAGGTGCACAATTTTTCTGCCATTTTAGTGAAATAAACTCAAGCAGACAGTGAAAGTGTTTGTGCAAATTGGGAAATGATGAGCAAAATGAAAGGTGTTAGTAATTTTTATTCAAACAATATCCACATGTTTTGGTTTTAATCAGGTTGGAAGTTGTGTTCAACCAATCTTTTGGCTAAACCGACCTAATTTACCCAATCTATATTTTTACTCGGGCAAAACAATGCAAATTAGTCTCATCAGCCAAAATAAATAAATTTAATCGCAACTTCCAAAAGTCAAAGACAGGTCTTGAACCATCAACCTCTAGAGTGAGAGTCTGAGTCTTACAATTGACGCCACCTATATAGATAACTATAGCATGGAGAAAATACTACTTAATAGCGACGTGTTAACACTGACTTTGTCCGGTGGCTTGCTCAGATTTTGATCATTACATTGTTTATTCTAACCAAAACAGTTTTAAGCAACTAGATTGGTTGTTTTTCCCAACCAATCTATTCTTAGAATCTATCCAAACTCTAACCAGCTGACAGCAACTCTCCTACAAATTCCCACATCTTAACTGAATCCTGAGGGTGTTTAAATGCCTGCCAAATTTCTTGCTCTTTCTGAACCACTTCGCAAAGCAGTCATGTGGTATCATGGTAGCGAGGCCTCGGATGTCATCAATTTTGGCCCCTACTCTAAATGAATCACGCCTCGAGGGTTTCCCCTCGCTTCGGGGAAACGCCCCCCTCAGTTACTCGACACACATCTCGAAGCCTCGGCTCATCTCATAACATCACTACTAAAGAGATTAAAGGTGAACTTCAAGCTTAAGGAACATCAGCATCGGATTGAACCATCTGTGATTGTTTGAGCCAAATTGGACGTAATGGGAGATGACCTAGGGGGACACCATTGTTGAAAATAAATCATAAAAAACTCATTGGAAATTGCCAAACTATATGTTGACAAGCCAAAAAGCTTTTGGGATAATGTCCTATGGACAGATCGGACTAATGTTTAAGTTTTTGCCAAGGCACATCAGCTCTATGTTCACAGAGGGATAAAATGAAGAAAAGAAAGCTGGGATTCTAGCAAGAAATGTGCTGCTCAGTGTGGGAAAGCTTGGTCTCAGTCGCAATTCATGTGTTCTTTAACAGGATAATCGAAAACACACAGCCAGGAGGGGCTAAAAGGAAAACATTTGACTATTCTGCAGTGGCCTTCTACTAAATCCTACTGAGCATCTTTGGAAGGAGCTGAAACATGGCATCTGGGAAAGGGACCCTTCAAACTGGAAACAACTGGAGCAGTTTGCTAATGAGGAGTGAAAATACCTGCTGAGAGGAGCAGAAGTCGTATTGACAGTTACAGGAACTGTTTGATTGCAGCAATTGACTAAACTGACTAACATTTGCAACAAAATATATAGTTAAAGGTACCATAATTTTTGTCCAGGCTTCTTTTATGAGATCATTTCTTAAAATCATTCTGCTGAAGCTTGGCTAAAAAGCAATGTCTGGCTTTCATTTTTTAATTTTCACATAGTTTTTATGTGTTATTACTTTTATAAGTTATTTCTGTGACCACTGTGAATTTTCTTATCATTAAACAAAGGACTACCAACAATTGTGTTCGTGTGTAAAACCATAATGCAATATATCCATAAGTCAATATTCAGAGCATGTGTGAGATTTCTACTGAATCTAAATATGGTTTCCTAGCAGGTCACCACTTCCACTATAACATGGATACTAACAGCCCGGGTCCTTCAAGGCTGGTAACTAAAACGAGAAGAAAAACACTGCAGTTTTTTTTAGCAGCTTTTCGGGTTTCACTCTGTCCTTTTTTTTTTCTTTCACACGGCCCTCTTATCTATAGATCCCAAGGTTTTTTATGGCTGATCTCACAGCTGTGGAGAATTTTCCCCAAGGGATCAAAGGTATGGAGAATATAAAGGTGAACATGAGAAAGGAAGAAATAAAAGAAGAATATGTTCCCACAATTAAGATTGTTTTTCGTCCTTTTTGCCCCTTGTGTCAAGTTACCTTCCACAAAGTAATAGTGTTTCCTCTTTGTATTACCTTTGAAATCAAACTGTTTTAAGCTTGATTTCAAAAACCTTCTCAACAGTGGGTTGAATATCTGAAATATGTACTAAGGTTAAATAATACAATAAAGCAGTGCAAACCCAAATAAACTGTGAAAAGGGAATAGATAGGGTAGACATTTCCCTTGTCCTCTAGCTCAGTATTTACATATAAAACAAAATAAGAAAAAAAGAGGTACAAACCACAATCAACTAACATCTAAAGCTTTATAACAGCAAAACTATCAAATCTCATTCACCATAAAGGATAAATAAGAAATGATAAGTTGTAATAATCATGTATTTCAAATAATATTTTAATACTGCCTTCTTTTTTCCATTCTTTATACAGCAAAAGTCTTTTTTACATACATACATACATATACATATACACACATATATACACACATATATATATATATATATATATATATATATATATATATATATATAGGCGATGAAAAGTACAATGTATTTGCTTCACAGCCTGAAATCTCAAATCCAAAGATGTATATAATCAATTTTTAATTGCTTTGTAAAGGAGCACAGTACTGTTGTATGTGAATAATAAGGTTCAGGTGACTAGCAGAGTAAGTAATTACAGTAACATAAACACACATGTCCCTCATAGGTTCAATTATAGGCTTAATGATCAATATTGATGATGAGGACGTTTCTGATGACATTCTGACGAGGGCCGATAAAATAACGAATAAAGAATAAAAGTTACTACAGTATATCCCATAGGGATCTGCAAAGGCAACACCAGTGTTCATCGTGTGAAGGTTTAGCATAACGCAGCAGCCAACACTCTTTAACAAAAGGATAGAGATCATATGTTCTCTCTGGTTGTTGTTTCCAACGGCTCATCCTTGTGCCAGAATTCAGCACTACAGACCTCTGCTTGTGGTTCTAAGCTTTTTTTCTGATTTTGTGAAGAACAATACTAAAAGGTCTGCTTTGCCAGACTGCATAGCACATCCTTTCAACCAAACATGAAATAACAAGTGCGAGTTTAATAAGAAATAAAAATAAAATAAATACTCCTTGGCAGCCAAACCTACTGAGCTGAGTCTAAAGCAATTTTGTTTAGCCACATGGCGGTTAGTGACGGAGTGCTCGGATATGTGAAGTCACAGGAACTATGTGTCGTAATTCAAAAGAGAAGAGTTTACTTTTTTTATGCAGAGAGTTACTATATTTAGTCAATATCAAACTCACTAATTGTCTCTATAACCTGTTTTTTTATTGAAACAGACCAAACACTGGGATCTGATAGAAGCAGACCTCAACCTCTGAATGCATTTCCTCTGCTTTAGGTGTCATGTCAGTACGTTGCAGCTTGTGTTTCCAAACAGCATCAGACTGACCTGCTCTGTGTCTCTGAGGATGAGCTGTTTGCAGCTGCTGCTGCAGGCTTCCCTGAGTCCAAACCGTTCTTCATGTCAGCACTTTTCTCTGCGTGAGAATTCCCTGAGTCTGGCAGACAAAACAGCAGATTGTTTAGTCTCAGGATTGGATTGTATATCAAATCAAAACACCTTCCAATAGGTACCCTCTTTTTTTGTGAGCTTTTTTTGTGATTTTGGGCTGAAAGTTAAACTAAGATATTCTACAGTCTTTAGATATGTTGCAATTCTGTTTTAAATACAATAGCTTACAGCGAACAGAACAAATATTCTGATCATTTGAAAGCAACAATCCTGCTGTAGCCACACATCATAACTTAGGCTGAATCAAAAACAAAATACCATGGAGGATGGCAATGCAATATTTACTTTTTAGGAAATTTATGATTGTTCAAAATCACCACAGAGAGACCAGCACATGGCTCACAACTATAGAAGTCTTCATATTGAACCTCTTGTTAGAACCTCTACTAAAAACTGGACTGTTGCTCAGTGGTTCAGAGTTCTATTTCAAGATAAAATAACATTTGTTATTTGATATGGAAGTCAAGCCCTAGAATCAAGACTGGAGAGGCTTTATCGAGACACAGTGGATTTAGCACCTGCCTATACTAAAAAAAGTACCAATACCTTCTTTAAACAGCATGTGCTTCATTGACCAGCAAACTCGACCTGACCTCAGGCCAATGTGGAGTTTTTGTCATAAGAAATATGGGAAGCATCAGGGCCAACAGTGCTGAAGGCTGCTGTAAAAGTAACCTGGGATGCATCAAACCTTAGGGGGCCTTGGGCTGATGGCCTCCAAGCCACATATTGCACAGAAGAAGTAAGGTCTTGATTTTCTGGCAAACTGGGTTTTCACTAGCTGTAAGTTTTAACAACTAACATTAATAGAAATTCCCACTTGAGATTTAAGAATCTTTTTTGGTCTGTTTCTATGTAATAAATGAGTTGAGTTACTTGGAGTTAGTTACTACTAACCTAGATGTATTATTGTTAATTTGATCTGCATGTTAAGGATTTAATAAGTCAGGGATAGTGTCTCACCCAGAAGTCTCTTCCATTCTTTAATGAGGACCTTTGCCAACGAGACAACGTCTTCGTCCCTGCAGTGCTTCCTGATGCTGTTCACAGACATGCCAATTCTTGTTTCCTGCAACAACAAGCAGGAAAAAAAAAATCAGGGTATGATGGACTTCCGTAAGCCTCCATGTTGTTGCAAACTTCAGAATGGAAAAGAGTAACGAAAATGAACTCTGCAGCTTACTTGGAGAAGTTTGAGAGTCATGTTGAAACCTTTAAGCTCTTTCAGCAGGTCAACAGCACCCTCCTGTACTCACAGCAGACATTAAAGTTACTTCTTGTAGAATGCATTGTCACTATATCTGAGTAAACACATATGGATGTCAGTCGAAGAGAAACTGGTTGGTGGATAAAACACTTTCACTTCTGCAATGTTTGCACCAACATTATAAACAGATAAAAATGTAGCATTATAACTTTATAATAGAGAAAACCTGAATTGCCCTGAGATTGGTAAATGTTCCTGCAGGTTTAAGTGCGCCAAGAAACTTTATCTTATTTGCAGAAGACACAGCACTGCAGGGTTGCAGGGGGAAAACAGGCCGCGCTGTTTACTTTCTGTTGCACGAATGACTTTAGGCTTAAGACGATCAGGCTATGGTTTTCAAGAAAAGCGTTTAAGACAAACTAACCAAGTAAGATCCGTGCAATGTTCTATACTAAAAGAGGGGGCTGCTAAAACATTTGCAAACCCATGCCAAACACCTGTCGATCGTTTATTACTGCAGACAAGTTCATATTACACTCATGCAGAGTCTCCACTCTCATCGAGTCAGATTAAAACCAAGCTTCTCCAAGGTGTAAACTTTGTGTTTTAACAGGCTCCTTCGCAGGCCTACGCTGCAGCACGAGGGGACGACGCGCCACCCGCGGGTGTCAAAATACAGCCTCACCGTGTTATTTCTAGACACCATCTTGTCTAGCTTCTTAGCGATCCGGATCAAGTCCTCTTCCCGTGTCATCGTTGAAGTGATATTTCCCCCAATAATCTTAGCAGTGACACCGTTAACAGCGCCGGTCGGAAAAGTAAAAGTTTGCGACAAAGTTGTGCTGCGCCGCAGGCTGGACTTTACGCACGGCGCGCTCCATTCAGTCCAGAGGCGTGTCCTGCGCCAGCTGACCAGCGCCACAACAAGCGGCCTAAATATAGACGCTGTAGAGACATTAGCAGCAGCGACACAATCTTCAAGGTGATTCCTTCAGAGCAAAGTTGATTTTCTTTGATTCGCCACTCTAAAAAAAACCCAGAATTAAAACAGGAAATGAAATGATTCCTCTTATTTTTTTAAGTCTCTGAATTTTAAATATTTATAGGACCTTTCAGGTGCCCCGCACACTTACAAGGTCAGTGTGTAATGATTAATCTCTCCAAACTGAGGACCATCCTGGCTGTGGAGTCACACATTATTTGCACATCTGTGCTGCTGCTGCTGTGCCAAAGATAAATCCGACATACAAATAAACCTTAATATTTTTTTTTTCCTAGACGTATTTTCTGTTATTTTTCAAAAGATCATTTTAAATTTATAGCAATTGGAATACATCTAAAACCCTCGAATTAATACAATCAAATCTTTCCATTAACATTTGACCACCAGAGGGTGCTCTAATTTAAGGCCTTATTTTTAGAAACAGACTTTTTACTATTTCCCTGCCTGCTTCGACCAGCAGGGGGCAGCATAGGACAAACAAGAGAGGCAGAGAACATCCTGCTCATTCACTTTCCTTTATATATTTTACGTTTTATAAGTTTTAATAGTGCTTTTCACAAATACACTATACTATATGTCTGTACATTCTAATGGAAAGTTAACAGTTTTGATGTATACTATGTGTTAGACTTAAAAATTATCTACTTAAATATTTGAAACAGATATTCCTGATCACTAGGCAAGCTTTATTACTTATTTTCATATTGCATTTATAAATAACAGAACACCTCTATTTAACTGAAAGTGATTATTTTTACTGAATTCCATTTGCAACAGCAGCTTTTGCCTTTTTATTAAAGTTTCTCCAGTTTATGTATATCTGCAAATTCTATGGGTCACTTTAAAATAGTTGATGCACTGAGTCATTTTGAGAGTTCATATTATTAGATGCTTTTACAGTGGCCAATAAGAGAGTTGTTTATTCCCCAGAGTGATACTTTAGTTGCATTTGTAAAATGCGGTTTTCTCATTTTGTAAAGAATCCACATAACAAAATAATAGAGTAAAAGTTGTAGGAGGAGACATTTAAAGGGAACATTTGCTTGCTTACTGTGTGTGAACAAAGTAATTAGCCATGATTTCTTACAGATCAGTTTCAGAAATGGACAGCTAAGGTAAAAACAAGACAAACAAAAAATAATGAGATTTGGGAATTTCTCTTTGCCATACCACCTGGAAAGAACTAATGACACATAAATCCTCCCCCATATTTGCCTGCGTTGTCTCAGAAGAAGTAAGAAGTATTAGTTTAAAGAAAATCCCACAGCTCTACCTGCTGCCTTCTGTGACAGAGGGCTGTATGCCATTACCAATGTCACACTTAATTAGCTTGGATTAAGGAAATAATGGTGTAGGAGGATATTTAGTATAGTTTCTGCAACTTAAGATGTCCAAGTAACGAGTGAGACTGCAGCTCGAGCTGAAATATTACCAGGAAACATTGCGTGAACTTCAGAAAAGAAGCTTCTGGCCAAATAAACCGTTTCTGTGGACATTTTCAAGCCCCAGTGAGTTTCACATTAAACATTACTTCTGGTTTCATCTTCCAGAGATTTGCTTTCAGATCAATCAGATCAAGATGCGTCATTTCAGGAGGTTTTATATTCCACTCCGAGCTGCACAAAACTATCTTACAGATAACCCCCGACTTTCAAAATACAGTAAAAGACTTTATCACTCAAAGGACTTTGTTCTGTTTTTGTGGTTGTTGCTTTGAGCAGCCAGTTCCCTGAAGTGCTCATGATTCCAAATTGCTTCAGTTAATGAATTATTTCAGAGACACACAGCCTTTTGAATTTAATAGATGGACCATAGAAATCGGCTCTAATATCTGTTACATACAGTAATCACTTTAGAGGAATCCAATATTCAATTCAAAAGAAATTAATTTTCAGAGGAATTAGGAGATCAGAAACCATATTAAATGTACCAGTAGATAAGCTGTTGAATAATTCTTTCATGTCTGATCCTTCACCATCTGCTTTCACTGATAATTTATAAGACACCCTAAAGTCCATTTTACTGTCCAACAGAATTTGAGCCAAAGATCTGGAATTAATATGGAAAGAATTAAAAAAACTGAAAATGTGTTACTATTCCTGCAGAAATGCTTTGGATAGACTCCTCTTTAAACCTAAAGGGTTAACTCTAAGTGCTAAACCATTCAGTCAAAAAATCTTTAAATTTGAAGCCTAGCTCAGAGCAAACTATTACACTGTTGTCTGCAGCACAGGGATTTGAAGATAACTGTGTTAATGACTGCAGGTGAAAGTACAGACAAAGAGCTTGTCTTGAGCAAAGCGTATTATCTCTTTACACTGCTCTTACACAACAGGTTGAGAGCCATCCATCCCTCTGCCTGTCTGGGAGACAACTGTGCCAGCCAGCTCTGGAAGTGGGGCGGATCATCATGAGGTAAGAGAGGAAGCAGGTTAAGAGGAAGAACCAGAGATCAAGATCAACCTGTGACATCCTATAATAAACCAAACCTGAATGCACCAAAGGAGGTGATCCTTCTGTGACCCTCTGACCTGTTTATTAAATTAAAAAATAACCAGATTTTATATAATTCCCTGATGGTATTATAACTCACATTATTGAAATTATGTGATTATTAAGAAACATGTATTTCGTATCCATCCAAAAAGAAGTGCAGTGAGATAGAAAGTTTTCTTTAAAAAAGATTTTTATCCACTCGGGTACAATAATAAGATTATGCAGGTGTTAATCTAAAGAATATTTCCACTTTCCAGCTTAAGTTGTTGATTATTGCTAGAAGTATTGTATTAAATTAGTTTCAAAACCAAAAAGTTACTGCAATGAACCAAAACAACTTTAGGCTTAAGGAAAGATGTTAGCTGATATAATTAAAGTTAATGACATCAAGCAGCCAGGTTTTGCAATTTATATATTTTTCTTTCAGGTAAGCTTCCATTAATTTTGAATATCTATTGACAATGTGGAACAACTGGGATTTCTCCTACATGGAAGGTAAATCAGGTGCTGAAAATCAATTTTGAGGTTTTCTTCACGATTTAAAGCTCATAACCCTATAGAATTTCATAGATTCCAAAACACACCCACTTAAAAGTAAATGTGAAAGTTTTCAGTGATTACAAATGAAAGCTGTGTCCTGTCTCCTTTGAGCAGTGTAGAATCCCGACAATTGCGACTAAAAAGACGCTCCTGTAGTCAAAGGGTTATCATTAGGACTTATGGACAGAGCTGAACACGTAGGGATGGAGACAGTTGTCAGGACGCATGCATTTTTACAGCCATATGGAACATTTACAAGCCACAGACACAATAGGTTAACCCACCTGCTGATCTGCAGATAGAAGCAGATGGACGGCTCTGAAAGACAGCTTAGATTGGCATGCTGTCTGTCAACTTTTGTGTGCCCAACTGCTGACGAGGTAGCCAGCTTAATGAGTGAGGACACACAACATGGTGTGCTTTGCAATTCAATTTAAATCAAATATTGTCATGATCTTGGCACTAATGACAGAATTACTGCTCCATTTCTTCCACCTGCGTGTGACTCCGCCCAGTTTTCACTATCACTCATCAGATCCACCGATTCCAGTTCCTATTTAGACTGCTTGTTCTAGCCATCTGTGCAAGATTATTCGAGTTGTAGGTGAAAATTCTCTTGCGTACTCCATTGTGTTCTGTGTCCTGGACTTCTGAGGATGCCTGCTCCTGTTCTGATCTGTTTGCCTGACCTGTCTTACCAATTTCCTTTGGATTCTGCCTGCTAACAACCTTGGATCTGTCTCCCAACCCCGGCTTGGATTTTCCCTCTGTACCTCTTCTGATCTCTGATCTTCTGGCCTGGACATCTGCTTCTGCATCAACGCCGGCTTTGGATTCTCCTTCGGCATTCTCGAGCTGGCTTCTGCTCATTGGTCTGCTCTACAGCACCTTTGGCTTCAACTCCTGGAACTCTCTGGGTGGCCTCCGCCGCATGCTGTGGAAAATCATCCAACTGGATTCCAGTAATTCCTCTGGGCTCGGACTGAACTTAAATACCAGGTTAGTGACTCACATGCTCGCTGTCATTCCTGGTCAGAGTTACGTGATCACTAACCTGTGTTTCTCCCTCTACAGAGATTCCAGCCATCTAGTCCTAGCTGACAAGATGCAGAACTCCAAGCAATTAATAAATGCTTTTTATAAATCACTTAAATCTGTCTGCCTGAATTCTGGGTCCTAACTGTACTGACAAAGATATTGTACTGAAAAAAATATTGTATTGATCCCAAAGGGATATTAAATGTTGTAACTGTTTTGGGGGTTTCATCAACGAGTTGCTGTAATGTTGATAGCTGTAGACTGGAAGGATATCCTGTAACAGTCTGTCTTACAGCTCCGCGGGAGAAAACTCTGACTGAATACACTCTGTTATGGTTCAGTAGTCTGATGAAGCTCACTGCTGTTCATAATGTTCTTCTCTTTCTGAAAAAATCTTCTTTGGGAAGTAATTTCCACATGTTCTAGAGGAGTTCCTAGAACAGAGTCAGCCTCTTTATTAGCTTGTTGAGCTTTTTTAAGTCATTTGCTCTGATAGTGTTAATCCACCAGATGAAGATAGAAAATATCATACTATCCATTACCGACTTATAGAAGATGTGCAGCATCTAGCAGCAAACACTTAAGAACCTAGGTTTTCCAAGGAAGACCAGTGTGCTTTCTCCCTCTAAACAGCTTCACAGTTGTGTCTCCAGTCTAGTCTGTTGTCCAGGTGAACACTAAGGTATTTATACTCCTCGTCCACCTCAATTTCCTCTCCAAAATGATAGTGCTAGCCTCGGAGAAGCTCTTATGCCTCATTAACAACCAAATGAATGATAATCCAGCGGCAGCTGTGACAGGGTTGGATGCTTTAATCATGTGGAATTAAAAGATGTACTCCCCAAATTTCTCAATTTCATAAAGTTTCCAACAAGAGATCACACTACGCTAGAGCAG